GGAACAGAGTCCTTTACCAAACCACCCAACAGCTGAGCTGAGTTAGTGAGGAATGGCTTCTCCAAACATGCCCAATTTGTTTCTTTAATCTGGTGGCACAGGGTGTAAGTTAGGGACTAGAAACACTCCTGCTTCAGAATCCCCATAAGCCACCAAAGGAGGGGAAACTTATTAAAAATAGATATTCTGCAGTTATCTCACTTTCAACACGGAGTTCATTTCAGTCCACATTTGAGCATTTATCACGGGCAAGTTCACAAATGTACTTCTGTTTTCGCCACATCAACACAGACAGGGACAGCGTTTCCAAATAGGCCACACGCACCCAGTTACTTCAGTTAGTTGTGCAATCAGGGGTTGCTGTTGTTCAGAGTGGATGGAGGCCTAAACCCGCTCCTGTTTCCTTGACAGCAGGCCCAATGGCTTGGAGCAGCCTCTCCTGGTGCGTGAACTGCACTAGAGCTTCTGCAATGTCATCATGCAGCGGTGGGGGGAAAGACAAAAATAAATTAAGGAAGGACTCTTTTAGCTAACAGTCATTTCTCCCAAAGTCCTCGATAAATCCGAGCTACATCCTGGAGAACAAAACTGATATTCAATTATGTGACCAAACGGTCTTCAGGAGAGAGAGAAAAAGCTGCAACACGGAGCAGTGTAAGTCACTTTCTCTTTCGTGAAAAATGAAATTCCAGATCAGGTTACATCTGATGACTCAGAAATCAGGAGAGCAGATTCCCCCATTGCTTTCTCCTTTGATCCATTCAAATCTGCTTCAGCAACAGCACTTCATTATTATGGAGTTGTTATGGGGGGGGGGGGGCGGGGGGAAGCATCATCGTAATAGGGAAAAACTGCCGACCACCTCATCTGCAAAGAATCCCAAATCAGCAGGAAAAAGTCCGGAAGTGGCTTTGTCAATAGACAGCAACTGGGATTTAAACTCAGAATGATGTCACAGTGTTTGGGATCCACCAGGTCTGGGACACTTTCATTGCCAGCTCTAATGAGTCAGATTTAGGATCAAATTGATACTAATTGCAGAGACGCTCTGGGGGTAGAATAGAGGTGGAGAAACTCCACTGTGCCTCAGACACAGGCCAATGCTGCTTGAGTCAGCAGATATAGTGACGGTGATGGGGAAGGGGGGAATCCCTCCAACTCACCCCATTTCCTTCCGGAGTCGCAGAGGCTGAAATGATCCATCTGTCCCACTTCTGCTTCTCCTCTTTGTTATATTGAAATCTATTGTCAATAAGGAAACTGATAAAAGTACAAATACCTGCTGCCCAGCACCACCTGGACCAGCGTGAGCACAACTGGGAAGGAGACATTTTGTCAGTAAAGGGGGAACTTGGTGACTAACAATCGCTCTGCTACTGGGGTGACAGTATAAACGTGATGCTCAGGGATTGTACAGACCAGGAAAATGGGTGTCCATTAGGACAGGCCAAAGGGGAAGATGCCAGCTAACCCTAAACCCTGTGCCCGGGCTATGTCAGCACTGCAAACATAGCGGTGTGTTTACATCAGGATCGCTACCTCCAGCACGCCGACACCAAGGGAAATCCTAGAGCAGAAGACAAACCCCATGTCCATTCTCACTTAGTGAGGAGACTTGTGTTCACCCCAATTTCCCCCACCTGGGGCTGATGGAAACGCCTTGCTGGAAGGACACACACTCCCATGACTCACAAGAGAAAGGAGTTGGGGGAAAGGAGCATGGGACTCACCCCAGTGAAGGGCGACCTGTAAAAGGCACAAATGGGCAACACACGAGGCAGCTGAGAGAACTGAGTGACACAAATGGTGCAAACAAACCGCAAGGTCACTATGTGGGAATTAGCAAATGTGTTTTGTTTTGTTTTAATCTTTTCTCCGCCCTACACAGAGTTTCTATGCTGTCTCTCTCTCCTGTGAACACTCTGATGTCTTTTAAGGGGTGAGCTCCGGGTGAAACTTTTCCCGCACTCAGAGCATCTATAAGGTCTCTCTCCCGTGTGAATTCTCTGATGTACAATGAGGTCTGAGCTCACACTGAAGCCTTTCCCGCACTCACAGCATTGATAGGGTCTCTCTCCTGTATGCCTTGCCTGATGTGTAATTAGGGTTGATTTCTGCCTGAACAGTTTCCCACACTCACAGCACTCATAGGGGCGCTCTCCTGTGTGGATCCTCTGATGTGCATTTAGGGATGAACTCTGTGTGAAAGTTTTTCCACACTCAGAGCACTGATGAGGTATCTTTCCCATGTGGATATTCTGATGTTCAATAAGGTCTGACTTTACAGAGAAGCTTTCCCCGCACTCACAGCATTCATAGGGTCTCTCCCCTGTGTGGATCCTCTGATGTTTATTAAGGGCTGAGCTCTGAGTGAAGCTTTTCCCACACTCACTGCATTCGTAGGGTTTCTCTCCTGTGTGCAATCTGTGATGTCGAATAAGGTGAAAGCTCTGACTGAAGGTTCTCCCGCACTCACAGCATTCGTAGGTTCTCTCCCCTGTGTGGATCCTCTCATGTTTATTAAGGGCTGAGCTCTGAATGAAGCTTTTCCCACATTCACAGCATTTGTAGGGCTTCTCTCCTGTGTGGATCTTCTGATGCATAAGAAGACCTGAGCTCCGAGTGAACTTTTTCCCACACTCACTACATTTATAGGGTCGCTCTCCTGTGTGGATCCTCTGATGATTAATAAGGTCTGACCTGTCGGTGAAGCTTTTCCCACACTCACAGCATTCATAAGGTTTCTCTCCTGTGTGGATCCTCTGATGTTTAACAAGACCTGAGCTCTGAGTGAACTTTTTCCCACACTCACTACATTTATACGGTCGTTCTCCTGTGTGGATCCTCTGATGGTTAATAAGGGTAGAGCTCAGAGTGAAGGTTTTCCCGCACTCACTGCATTCATGGGGTCTCTCTCCTGTGTGGATCCTGTGATGTCGAGTAAGGTGAATGCTCTGACTGAAGCTTTTCCCACACACACTGCATCCATAGGGCCTCTCTCCAGTGTGGATTCTCTCATGTTTTAAAAGGCCTGAGTGGTTAGTGAAATGTTTTCCACATTCAGTGCATGTGTTATTTCTCTCTCCTGTGGGTATTCTCGGCTGGGCTGTGGTTTCCAGGAGGTCCTGGTGAGTTCCCTGACAATTAATGGAGTTACCCACTTTCTCCGCTGGCTGGTTTCTCTGCTCCTTCTCTGGCCTGTGCTGACTCTCACAGGCTTTGCCCTGCACACGATGCCGGGACACATTCCCTCTGGAGCCGTGCGATAATGCCCCATGTGGTGCCACTTGCTCAGAATCTTCCTGCTGAGGATTCTGCTTCTTCTCCTCACTCACCATGGCAGCACCTGCTGGGACAGAGAGAGAAACCTCAGACACAGGGATGGAA